TTCTACAGGTGTTCTTCATCTTCTGCTATTAGGACTGTGTCATCTGCACATCTTAGATTGTTTATATTATGTCCCCCTACCGAGATACCAGGCAATTCTCCTATGTGTCTCATGATATTTTCACTATACAGGGAGAACAAGTCTGGAGAAAGCACACATCCTTGTCTGACTCCTCTTTTAAACTGCGTGTATTCGCGTGTTTTCTATTCTCATTGCAGCAGTTTGATCCCAGTACATGTTTTTGATAATCCTTAAGTCCTTCCCGTCGATATTAAGAACTTCCAGCATGTCGATGATCCTGTCGTGCCTGACTTTGTCGAATGCCTTGGTGTAGTCTATAAAACATAAATGAAGATCTTTCTGAACTTCTAGGGCACGTTCTATTGTTGTTCTGATGACATATATGACAATAACAGTGCCTTTGCCTTCAATAAATCCACACTGTTCTTGGGCTATTTCTGGGAAATTTCTCTAGTGCAAATATCTTAATCAGTCTTCAGCACTTATACGACCTAATCGTGTAGCTATTATAAATGCCGTAAAACTTCAAACAAAACTATAACCAAACCTCGTTCAGAACTCACGTTGTCTGTGTAGCTGTGACACTGAGCTCTACAAGGAGAGAAGTACGTCTTGCCGTCCGAACCACAGATGGGGAGGAAGTCATGCTCAGCGCACGAGCAGTCGTAGTCCGCACAGAACTCACCCTCACTCCTGTTGTAGGAATATAGGATGAACGACAAAGACAGCGATCAGAGTTTATAGTACGGCTTGGTATGGATTTAAAGCCCTTTTCATAATTATCAGTATCGTTAGGTTGTTTAAGAGGCAAGGTCTACGTCTACCTCCGAAAACGTTGCATCAAGTAGACAGAGAGCCTTGGAATCCCCCCCCCTCCCCCCCAAAATAAAAATAAATAAAGCAAGCAAACTAATAAACAAACAAACAAACGAAAACACAACAATAGCAAAAGCAAAACAAATAACAAATTGGTTTAAAAACAAACAAACAAAAACAACATACCCTTATTTAAAAAAGAACAACTACACCAAAAACAAAACAAAAACCCCAACCAATTTCCAGAGCGCATTTCCGGGATTCAAACTAAGATCATAATGTGCCATTCCTCAACATGGTACTGATTGATAAATCTTGCCTCTACATTATCATACTTGCGTGCATAATAACTATTGTTCAAGTCATAGTATATCCCATACCCCCACCCCGTAGATCAATGACAATTTTCCCTTTTGTTTTTTCCTATTTTCCTTTTTCTGTTGTCAAAGTTACAACAAACACATTAATTTTTCTTACCCAGGTGCTCTGTGCACTGTCGGCTGATCACAGTAGAACAAAAGTCCCGCCAAATTAGCCAGCAGAGTCAGTAAAAAACCCGCCATAGTTGTCTTGATAGCGCCATACGCGGACAACTTGAGGCGCTTGCTGAAGTAGCCTCCGAGGAATGTGCCCAGACATTTAGAGACCAGGAAAATGGCACCTGGGGATGAAAGTTTGGTATATTGTGAAGGACGAAAGTTTTAACAGTTTTAAAGTTTGTCGATTGGCGGCTTGTATCATCATCATCATCATCATCATCATCATCATCATCATCATCATCATCATCATCATCATCATCATCATCATCATCATCATCATCATCAGGACCATCAACTGCAGCACAATCATCATCACCACCACCACCACCACCATCAACAACAACAACAAACAACCGACCATACAGACTTTCCTAATCCTAACTATCTTCATGTTTCCTCTACTTCTTTTGTATGTTTGTCACCCTCTTGAGACCCGCTATTTCTGGGGTGCCTTGATAGTCGAAGCAGACTTTGTGCTGCTGATGCTAGAGAGGTGAGCAGAGTAAGTCTGATTCCCTGTAAGGACTTCTCTGTTGACATACACCCCTTGGCGCTCATACGACTTTATTAATATGCAGTTGTGGGCGCCGTAAAACCTCTACTAAACAAAACAAAACATACTCAACTTTATGAAGTTGCGAGCGCCGTAAAACCCCCACTAAATTATACAAAACAAAGACAACTTTATGAAGTTGCGAACGCCGTAAAACCTCTACTAAAACAAACAAACAAACGCAATTTTATTAAGTTGCGAGCGTCGTAAAACCCCCACTAAATTATACAAAACAAACACAACTCAACCCAAAGAGACCCTCACTCAGGGTATAGTTGGCCTTGTAAGCCGGCATATCAAAGACTCTCTCCAAGTACTTGGCGCTGTAGGCAGTCCCGCTGACTGCGAAGATGATGAACACCCCCCCGGCGTTCATCAACATGTACACCGGGTTACCCAGCAGGCGAAGGCAGGGCAGGAAAAACACGTCTGGGGAACCAGGGCAAGTTCTTTATTTCTTTTTTTCCCGGATTATAATTATATTAATATAATAATATATATTATATAATGTATAAATGAAAATAAATAATTTATAATAATAGTATTCTTTGTATCTGTCAGATAAACTGTTCTGTATTTGTGTATATCATGTACTTATGTATGTATTTATGCGTGTATTTATGTAGGTACGTATTTTTGATGATGTATAATTTATGTATGTAAATTTATTTTTGCCTTTGTAAACCAAAGTGCCCTTCGGGGATTTATTTTATATTATTTTTTTTATAAAGATCGTTAAAGCTTGTCATTTTGTTAAACTCGTTGATTGTTTTATTAAGCAAATATAAGGTTGGGTACAACCATTTAAAAGACCCAAAGAAAACAAACGTAGTTAATATAAAATTGTCTTATTATACATACAGTAACTAACAGATACACATAGCAATTAAAAACAGCACAGACAGACACACACACGCACACACAAACACACACACACACACATACACACACATACACACACACACACACACACACACATACATACACACACACACACACATATACATACACACATGAACTAACAAATACACACATTCACATACACACACACACATGTACACACGTGCGCACTTATACATACATTCATCCTGATGTACACAGTCGAACTTATGCATCTGTATTCATACCATAATATAATGAAATGTTTTTAGAGTCGTATTTACTGTATCAAAAATGAATAATATTTAATTAAGTGGACGTTTGTGTATATATCCACCACATATGAGAGAGTTAGAGAGAGAGAGAGAGAGAGAGAGAGAGAGAGAGAGAGAGAGAGAGAGAGAGAGAAAGAGAGAAAGAGGGAAAGAGAGAAAGAGAAAGATAGATTGACCTACTATAGAGACAGAGCAATCGTCTGATGCAGATAGAAAGCACGTATGCATGTCGTAGACAAAGATGAAGACCCGATGACAAACAGAGACACATTCACAATACATGACCAAATTAGGTTGCAAGTGCCGTAAATCGTTTGCTACTAGATCTACTCAACAACACTAAGACACAACGAGACATTCCCGGAGCCCCTCCAACAAACGCCCCCCCCCCGGCCCATCATACCCCGAGCTGTCCTCCAGACTGTGATGATCCAGCACGGTTGTAGAGACATGTACACACGTGCGCACTTATACATACATTCATCCTGATGTACACAGACGAACATATGCATATTATTTGTATTCATACCATCATATAATGATATGTTTTTAGAGTCGCATTTAATGTATCATAAATGAATAATATTTAATTAAGTGGACGTTTGTGTATATATATCCACATATGGGAGAGTGAGTGTGTGAGAGAGAGAGAGAGAGAGAGAGAGAGAGAGAGAGAGAGAAAGAGGGAAAGAGGGAAAGAGAGAAAGAGAAAGATAGACTGACATACTATAGAGACAGAGCAATAGTCTGATGCAGAGAGAAAGCACGTATGTATGTCGTAGACAAAGATGAAGACCCGATGACAAACAGACACATTCACAATACATGACCAAATTAGGTTGCAAGTGCCGTAAATCGTTTGCTACTAGATCTACTCAACAACACTAAGACACAACGAGACATCCCCGGAGCCCCTCCTACAAACACCACCCTCCCTCCCCCGGCCCATCATACTCCGAGCTGTCCTCCAGACTGCGATGATCCAGCACCACCGTTGTAGTCCTGTACTCTCTACCTCTCTCTCCCGACTCTGTTGGTCAAGGACGTAAACCTCTGGCACGCTGACGTCGTCGTCGTTGTTGTTGATGGCAGGGGAACCATTCGATGGCGAATTGTGTTGTATGCTGCTGTCTCTGTACATTGTTTAGAAGCAACAATTTAGGGTTTTTTTAAAATGTGAATAAAACTCAGTGCTCATTGCGAATAATTTGGTCAAATATCCAATTGATACATTCAATTGATAAAAATGCATTACTTAAAAAAAAAAAAAAAACAAAAAAACTGGTGATGCCCCATTTTCTTATTAGCTGATAATTTAGATTGAGACATTTTCTTTTTTTTCATGTGTAGAATTCTAGAACGTTTTGTGCGCTACTGTTGAAATATTATAATTACTAGTTACTTTTGTCACATTTCATCTTATTTTATGTCATCATTGTGTCGCATAGTAAGGTTTTTGAAGAAAAGTATATGGTTTGTATTTTGTTTTTGTAAAGTGTTTTACGGCACTCGCAACTGCATAGGTCATATGAGCGCGCGGGACACTCCTAATATTTTCAGTTGTTTGGAAATTTTGAATTTTGCCCGGGTGGCGGCCGAAGCCTACTCTTATCGATTTTAGACCACCAAGGGATCTTTAACGTGCGCAACTTGAACACGGGCCCTCCGAGATTTTTCGCCCTTGACCGAGAAGGCTAGGTGTAGATCTTTCCTACCAGAAGATCAGGGGTGCGGCAGAAAGACATCAGTAAGGAGGAGCCAAGGAGTAGCAGTAGAAAGGCTGCAGAAAGAGTCAGGAGCCCAGAGGAGGGGGCAAAGGAGGTGAGGGGGCGGGGGCAGAAAGTGGAAATGAAAGCAGACAACAGAACATTGTTAGAGGTCAGGAAAGGATGTGAAAGGAGACAATTTTAGAGAAGAAAATGTTTTGGTCGCTACCCGGAATCGAACCCGGGACCTTTGAATGAGAGGCCAACACCTTAACCTCTAGGCCACGAGAGCCCCCCTATATGGTTTGGACATCACTGGGTTTTTTCCTTGTAGTCTTCTTATGCTGCAGCTGAGATCTGCCAGAATTTTACTTCAAGGAGTGTTAGATGCAGCTACTTTTGTTAGAAGATTTGACCCAGTCCCTCTCAGACGTCAAACATTCTTTTGTTTTTCTTGGTCACATCTCATTCGTTTAATATGTTTGAAAAAAAAGAGCTACAAATCAGAAATTTGTCAAGAACTGCAAGGTCAGATCTATTGTTTGTGCGTGGAATGCAACAGTTAAATTTGCTGAAGCAAAGCATAGTAGGAAAGTTTTGATATATTGACAACTCGACCCCCCATTTATAGTATAGACCAAGCCCTATCCCATCTGATCTTACAGATCGGTTCCAGTTGATCAATGGGCGTTTACTATAAATAAATAAACCAATTATATCATAGCATAATAATGTTGTGTATTGATGAGATCAGCCCCAAATCAAAATAATGGAATCAAAGAAACCAACACTTTACTGTCCCTTGGCCAATTTTTGTTGAAGTAATTGGTTCTGGTTTTTTTTTTGTCGCAACACCTTTTACGTCAATTCAAAAACACATTTTTGTTTGGATTTTACAGGAATTGAACTCAGATCTCCTGTGTGAGACAGCGAAAAGCCTAACCACTACACCACGAACGCCAGTTCTGTCCACAAAACCCCGCAAAGGCGGAAGAAACATGACGTCACATCTTACTGAGCTCCTTGGTTCATGGGCTGTTGCTCCTCCGTCTTCTGTCCAGGTTCCGGTTTGGGAAGGCGTCTGGGAAAGCAGAACAAGGGAAGGGAGGCAAGCATGCTGACAATGCCCAGGAGCACGAAGCCTAGCCACCAGGCGCCCACCCAGTCCGAGTCTTTGGGGTTGAGGTGAGTGTCTGAGATGAGATAAGATAAGATAAGATAAGATAAAATGAGATAAAATGTTATGGAATTAGATAAGGTAAGATAAGAAAAGATAAGATTTGATTTGAAAAGGTAATATAATATAAGATAAAATGAGATAAAATGTTATGAAATAAGATAAGACAGGTAATATAAGATAAGAATAAAATAAGAATAAAATAAGAATAAAATAAGAAAGTGATAGATACATTAAGATAAATAAATAATAGATAAGAATAGATAAGAATAGATTAGAATACATAGAGAAGATAAGATATTATTTATATTGGTCTCCCAAACGAATTATCTGGTGCAACAGTATGTTAATGCATTCTGTTTGTCAACTTGACATTTATCAATTTTGTTATTACATTATATAGGTTGTGCTTTTTTAAACAATACCTTTTCATTCCGTTTGAGTTGGACTTCAAGAGACAGAGGAGGAAAGCATGTGGGATAGAGAGTGATAGAGGAATGAGTGCGCGCGCGTGGGTGTGTGTATGTGTGTTTGTGCGTATGTATTTGTATATGTTTACGTGTGTGTATGTGTGCGAGTGTGTGT